AAGTGTCCTCACACTAAATGTCCTCACACTAAGTGTCCTCACACTAAGTGTCCTCGCCAGCTGTCCTCCTGTGTCTCAGCTGGACGTTCAGTTTCAGTAAAATATTTTCTTTTTAAAACGTTTAAATCGATCTTCATAAATCTTCTTACATCCTCTGTTCTGTATGTAAAGTTTTAGTCTTGTTGGACGGGTCTGTGCTCCTGACAGAACCGGAGGCAGAACTGGACTCCCAGAACCTCTCGGCTCCTGATCCTTCAGGTCCCGCCTGGTCCTGGACTCTGTCTGTTTGTGTCCCTCAGGTGTTTGGGAACCACGAGTTTGACAACGGAGTGGACGGCCTCATGAAGCCGTTCCTGGAGAACATTAACTGCACCATGCTCGGCGCCAACATCCGACCAGACCCGACCCTGGCCCACACCTTCGGCAAGACCTATTTACCCTACAAGATCTTCAGTGTGGGGGGGGAGCGTGTCGGAGTGGTGGGCTACACGTCCCAGGAGACAGCGTCTCTGTCCAAACCCGGTAAGCCTGAATCCTGGAAACGGGTTCTGGATGCTTTACATCCAGGTACCACTGTGGTCTCACTGGAGGGACAACGAATACGAGGACAGGACCGTCCAGTTGGTGCACCTGCCGCTCCAGGTTTCTGTCCAAATGAGCCACTTCCTGTCTGCAGTCCGACTCAATAAAAGCTCAGAGCAACTTCCTGCAGTGCACGGTCCGACCCGCCTCTTTGGGTGTGGACGGTCCAGAGAAAGACAGGAAGTGTCCGAGTTAACGAGGCATGGAGGAGACGGGGGTGGGGGGTGGGGGGGGACCTCAGACCTGAAGACTCATCTTCAGTTTCATCATATTGTCTTGGTCATTTTTGTCTCCGCCCCTAAAACGTCTCAGTTTATTGATTTTAAATTGCTTAAATTTTTCAGATGAATTGATTTTTAACTGAAACCAGAAGGTTCTTTGAAGTCAGTTTTACTAAAGCTCAGCCAGAACCTGTAGCTGAAAGACGAACAGGAAACAGGAAGGTCGAGACAGGAAGTGGCCCCCCACATCACAAAACACACCTTTCCTCCTGGCCTTTCCTGATTAAATTCCTAAACACGAGTTTCCTGTGCAAACATCTGGCGGTGGTAACATTCCCACACATACAGTGCCTTCATAACAAGATAACTTTTATATATTATATATTATATATACATCAGAATCAGTTTATTATTGACGTGTCAACGACCGAGGTTCACAAACTAGAAATTTGCTTCGACATAAGGCGAATAGTAGTAAAGTAAAAATGAAAACATTACATAAACATGTGTACACCCATACAATAGAAAACAAGAAAAAAGCTTAGAAAACAGTATATATATATATATATATATATATATATATATATATATATATATATACAGTGTCTTGTGAAAGTATTCGTCCCCCTTGAACTTTTCAACCTTTTGCCACATTTCAGGCTTCAAACATAAAGATATAAATTTTAATTTTTTGTGAAGAATCAACAACAAGTGGGACACAATCGTGAAGTGGAATGAAATTTATTGGATGTGTCAAACTTTTTTAACAAATAAAAACTGAAAAGTGGGGTGTGCAGTATTATTGGGCCTCTTTACTTTCAGAGCAGCAAACTCAGTCCAGAAGTTCAGTGAGGATCTATGAATGATCCAATGTTGTCCCAAATGACTGATGATGATCAATAGATCCACCTGTGTGTAATCAAGTCTCCGTATAAATGCACCTGCTCTGTGAGAGTCTCAGGGTTCTGTTCAAAGAGCAGAGAGCATCATGAAGACCAAGGAACACACCAGGCAGGTCCGAGATACTGTTGTGGAGAAATTTAAAGCTGGATTTGGATACAAAAATATTTCCCAAGCTTTAAACATCCCAAGGAGCACTGTGCAAGTAATCATATTGAAATGGAAGGAGTATGAGACCACTGCAAATCTACCAAGACCCGGCCGTCCCTCTAAACTTTCATCTGGAACAAGGAGAAGATTGATCAGAGATGCAGCCAAGAGGCCCATGATCACTCTGGATGAACTGCAGAGATCTACAGCTGAGGTGGGAGAGTCTGTCCATAGGACAACAATCAGTCGTACACTGCACAAATCTGGCCTTTATGGAAGAGTGGCAAGAAGAAAGACATTTCTCAAAGATCTTCATAAAAAGTGTTGTTTAAAGTTTGACACCTGGGAGACACCAAACATGTGGAAGAAGGTGCTCTGGGCACATGAAACCAAAATCAAACTGTTTGGCCACAATGCAACACAGCTCATCACCCTGAACACACCATCCCCACTGTCAAACATGGTGGTGGCAGCATCATGGTTTGGGCCTGCTTTTCATCAGCAGGGACAGGGAAGATGGTCAGAATTGATGGAAGATGGATGGGGCCAAATACAGGACTATTCTGGAAGAAAACCAGTTTGAGTCTGCAAGAGACCTGAGACTGGGACGGAGATTTATCTTCCAACAAGACAATGATCCAAAACATAAAGACACATCTACAATGGAATGGTTCACAAATAAACGTATCCAGGTGTTGGAATGGCCAAGTCAAAGTCCAGACCTGAATCCAATCGAGAATCTGTGGAAAGAGCTGAAGACTGCTGTTCACAAACGCTCTCCATCCAACCTCACTGAGCTCCAGCTGTTCTGCAGGAAGAATGGGCAGAACTTCAGTGTCTCCATGTTCAAAACTGATGGAGACAAACCCCAAGAGACTTGCAGCTGGAACTGCAGCAAGAGGCGGAGCTACAGAGTATTAACGCAAGGGGGCCAATAATACTGCACGCCCCACTTTCAGTTTTTTATTTGTTAAAAAAGTTTGACACATCCAATAAATTTCATTCCACTTCACGATTGTGTCCCACTTGTTGTTGATTCTTCACAAAAAATTAAATTTTTATATCTTCATGTTTGAAGCCTGAAATGTGGCAAAAGGTTGAAAAGTTCAAGGGGACAAATACTTTCACAAGACACTGTAACTACGTAGACGCCTCGCTGAGCGCTGAATCGTACATGGACGCCATATTGGATGTGACAGAAGTGAAGCAAGAGGAGAAGGTGTCATTGATTCAGTGCAGCAACACACAAAAAGCTGTACAAGACTGCTCCTATTATTATTATTATTATTATTATCATTATTATTATTATTATTATTATCATTATTATTATTATTATTATTATTATTATTATTATCATTATTATTATTATTATTATCATTATTATTATTATTATTATGGGGGAGTGGTGGCGCAGAGGTTAGAGAGGTGGGCCTGTGATCCGAAGATCGCCGGTTCACGCCCCGGCCCCGACAACATCAAAATTGTGGGTGGGGTAGGTGAAACACCCACACCTGCCTCCACCCTCATTCGCCCCACTCTGGGCCCCTGAGCAAGGCCCTTAACCCCCACCATGTGCTCCTAAACAGGTCTCTCTTGAAAATGAGTTCTCGTGGCTCAGTGAGACTAACCTGGATAAATAAAGGCTAAATGAAAAAAAAAAATTATCATTATTATTATTATTATTATTATTATTATTATTATTATTATTATTAT